CTCGCTCTCGCTCTCGCTCTCTCTCGTTGTGTCTCTAGGACCTCTCTCAATTCACATTGCTTACGACCTCTATGAATTTGTGCTGCATATAGACGCAGCTTCATCGATTAATCAGCATGGTTTGCCGCTTGTACGGGTTGTTTGGTCAAGGCGATACCACCCGGCGTTGAGAACACGGTGTAAGCGAGTGCTTTTCTACTCTCCGCACATCGTAAACCTCAATGGGCCGAAATCCCCGCGTCTATCAGCCCGAAACCCTGAAGGCTGCAAGCCCAAAACTTCAGACGTAAAGTTCACCGTCTATGAGCCCATTGACCGTACGTACACCCCATCGTCCAGTGAGCCAAAACCCTGAAGCCAGCAAAACCATTCTGCCCCAACTCGAACATGCTCTGAAGATTTTCCATGCTCTAAGGCGACGGACCTGGCCACTGCCAAATAGCCGGGCCCTAGGTTTTCAATAAAAAATACGCCCTCGGTTGCTAGGTTCCTCGTGTCGGGAGTTGGGCTTCAGGTGGAGCTCGTCGGGGTCAGGGCCTTCGGAACTGTTGGTGGTCGCACTGCTACACCAGGGATCATACAAGGACTGTTTAGCTCCGGAAATACCAAGTAATTACCTCGCCAGAGCTGCTGAGAAGGAACATGCTTTGCTGTGGTGGCACTTCTCGGGACCTTGAGCTGTGCACGTGCCCTGCATGGACCTCACGGACAAGTACCAGTTTGGGTACCGCATGCGAAGATGGACAGCTTTTGCAGGGTCTGAGAAACATAAGGTTCGGACATATAGGGTCCAGTTTTGCTGATGTGGGTGGCGAGACGCGACTGCTTGAGATGTCCCGAAAGCCCAAGCACAGCATGTGGGTCACTGAGACTCAAAACACGCGCGAGGTGGGAAATTACTTCCACTTCAACCCCTCCGGTGGATGGTCGGGGGACTCGGGGCCCTCAGGGCTTGGGCTGATTTCTCTGCACCCTCCTCTAATAACTGGAGTCTGGAGACCCTGAACCATCGGAGCATCATTTGCGACCAAAACAGCTTAAGCCTCGAAACACTGAACATACCAGCAAAACAACGTATGAAGCATGTTCAGAAACTTGACCCTGTACCTCAACAAAACGCGAATTACAAACCCTTCCAAGAGCCTCCTTGGAGACACAAACCTTAACACAAGCTTGTCTTGTGGTTCACAGTATTCTTCGGGGCAGGGCGACCCTTCGTCTACTCCGGAGTTGTTCACAACTCTCATGGCTGCAGATCCGACTAGCCGGTTTCAGATCTACATGAAGGAAACCTCGCATACTTAATTCTCTAGACTCTTAGACCCTTACTCCGCTGCTCCCGTGACAGGAAGGATATCCAGTCGGTGGACATAAGTAAGGGCCCGTCTGGGCCTCGATCCGCAAGAGAGGAAAGTTTCTTGCAGAGAAAGTCCAGAGGGACAGTCGGCTTGGCCCAGCCGCCTGACGTGTCGTGGACCCCGAAGACAGAGTGAGAGTCCTTTTGCCTGCCTGGATTTGGGCTATGCAAGCCCGAAGCTGTGGTTCGGTTCGCGAGTTCTGCAAGGCGTGCCAACCCGATGTGGGTAGTCGTGGCAGTGAAGGCCTGATCCTGACTTGGGCTTCCGTGGAGTGGAGCCGAGCAACCAAAAGGCTGCCGGTTGTTTGGCCCTCGGAAGAAGCAAACTGGGCAAATTGTCGACTAGATGATCAGTAATTAGAGAAATGCTGTTGCGAACGGGCAAGCACATGAGCTTCTTAGCTCGTCCACACAGTAGGCAAATGACTGCCTGAAAAGCTTCCCCAAAGTTTAACGTGCTGTAGCCTGCAGCGTAATTGTTTGTGATCGGCGAGGACGCCGATGTTAGATCAGGTTTGGCTCAATGCGGCCGGCATCATGTTCATGGGGATTTCCGGCAAACACCGACCAGATGTGTTAAAATAAGCCCCTATGCGGCGTTATACGTGGATATGGTAGTTTGCTACTGCCTGCCACATGCGGAAAATTGACGGAGCGGAGGGGATTCGGCAGCCGCCCCGAGTGGGCCCTCTCTCTGAGTCCAGGCAATAGCCGCATTATTCTCTTCGGAAGTGCCGGAAACGTTGCCCATGACCATAACCACATGGATCTAAGGACCTTTTGCTTGCAGGTGCTAGGCTTTGGACTTCTGCCAAGGACTGCCCCGCACAGACCCAGTAAGTCAGAAACTAGTATGAGAATACGAGAGAACCGTCATTTGTCTTTGGTTCCCATCGAACTTACGGAAAAAGTACGTCCAGTGACTCAGGCTGCAGGCGCACACCAAAGCACGCCATCAGTTGGAATAGTGAAGGCAGGCTCAGGGCAGATGCTGAAGTAAATGAGCGTAGAGTTCCTTGGGCCGAAGACATAGCCAGCTGATTCGCGCTTTGCAAGGTAGGGGAAGGGATGACTTGGTGTTTGAATCATGCATTGTCGCTTGTCGAAGGCTTGCCCGTGCGCCGAAGCACCCGGTTCCAAACTATGGAAGCTGCAACTGTCCCAATTTTCCACATCGACACTACCCCCGTACTTGACGAGGACCCTTCACTTAGGAAGCCAAGTTTTCAGGCATGCTCCGAACGTTCAAAGACATCGGTCGGAAAATGCCAAGGCCTTGTTGTCAGGCTTTAAATAGGGGTCACATATTGGCAGACTCTCTTTGGCTGCATCCTGCATCCTTCACCAGCGCCTAACATCATGAGAAGCAGGGCTGTTTGCAGCTCCGTCCTGCCATTTGTGGCCGGCCTGGGTGTTCCCAAGTTCTCCGATGATGCGACGCCCACAAAGCCTTTGCCTCCGAGGAGGCTTAACAGAAGGAGACTGGGCCCAAGTTCCAGTACGTGTTCACGAAGCAATTCCTGCTGCGCTGACAAAAACCGAAGACAGAACTTGCATGAAATTTGTGAATAAACCTCAGAAGGAGCAAGAGCACCATCATGTCACACCTAACCAGGCCGAATGTGCCCAGCCTGCAGAGAGCTGAGTCCTCACTTCAAGCCAACCCTCTCCCAGGAAAGTTTCGTTTTGGAGTTCTCCTGCAGCCTGCCAGGGGCACGATGACAGTCAAGCTCTCTCCAGGACGCTAGGGTTTAGTGCTCTAGATTTGGAGGTTTTGGGTTTTGGTTCCAGGGCCGGCATTCATGTTCAATTGGAAACTTGGATGGCTTCTTTGTAACTCGAAGCCCTCACTGTAGCAAAAGCAATCATCATTATGCTTGCTGTCGTTATCGTGATGACTTGCATTTCCCTTATTGGGGCCATCAGGAAGCGGAGCGACGACCCCAGTCATGTGCTGCAGTGGCATCGCACAGGAGGAGGGCATCTTGGAGGCTTCGTTACTATTTTCTAATATAGCACCGTTCCGAAACCATGTTGTCCTGATACCTACACGCCTCTGCTTTGCGTCCTATACGTCCTAAGGCCCCAGAGCCGTCGACCCCATCATCCCATGCCCCACACTCTCAAACCCAAGGTTTGTGCACGAGAGCATCCAGGCAACACAACTCCCGGGGCTCGGATGGGCACTTTGCACCCGGGCCGACATCGGAAAAGACGCTGTGCTGGTGACCGGCCAATGCGTTTAGTGGGTTTTGAGCCCTCATGATTCTGTGCTCATGCGGTAAGGTGTAGAATTGAGGGCATACACTGCGCAGAGGTTTAGGCTGCTAGCACCTGGATCTTGCAGCATTGGGAGTTTCCAAGTTGTTGTGCCTGCGTTAGTACAAGACTGAGTTTGCAGGATGTCGATAGGTTGGCAGGCTTCAATCTGGTCCAGATACTGATTGGCTGTTGAGTTGGATGCCACTGCTTAGTAGGATCAGACAGACTTCCAGACCGTGCACTGCAAGACAAACTCTTAGATGCTTCCAGTTCGTAAACCTGAACACCGCCACCAGCCCTGAACTTCAACAAACACCGTGCTAAGACTCAACCTTGAACCCCCAACCCTCCTTCGAAACACAAGCACTAAGCCCGGAGACATTCAATCCCTGAACCCCAAGGTGACGACACCTGCAAAGCTCCTGTGTCTGTGGTGGCATGTGTGGGTTTGGAGTCTTAAGTAACCGGTGATGAAATATCATGGTAATCTTCATATACCAGAGTAGAGTTCATGCGGGCAGCTACGGCACTCTATGTCTTGACACCGAACGGATCTACTGAAGCTGAATCCGACATATTGACATACCATTCCCAGAATTCCGTAGAATTTTTCCAACGGGATTCAGTACTCTTTCTTGTCAATTTCTTCTCGCCAGGGTTGGGCGAGAACAGGTGTGTCGTTGCCTGTGCATAACTTAGGGATTCGGCAGTATCAGTAAGCGGAAGGATTACCCAGAAAAGACACAAAACCACCCAAAATCCCCAACACTTCCAACCTCAAATCCCAACCGCCGTACTATGACATTCCCCGTCGAGTGTTGGTGTTCTTCATCAAGCGGAAGCCTAGGCGCACAAGGCCGCACAATCATCCGCAGAAACCCGGACAACGACGAGACGGCCAAAGCCCAAAAACCCTTAATAAGCCCGTATGGCCCCAAAAATACCCCTAAACCGCACAGTCCCCTGTGCTCCGACAGTCTCAAACAGGTGGGTCGCGCGGGAGTGCCATGCGCCGGCCGGGGTCCATCCCTTGGCACCCGGGGAGGAGCTTCCTGGAGCGTCGATGCTCCTGAGGTGCTTTTTGTACTCTTACTAAGGTTTGGGGCATAATTAGACTCTGCCTATACCCAAAACATACTCTGACTGAAAATAATTGGCATCATACCACAAATTTATTAGAAGTGTGCTTGTATACTATACCAATGCCCACGCTACGGAGGAGTAGTTTGAGTATATCCTGGCCCTCAGCGATTCGTTGAACTGAATGATATAGCGTGCGGGGCTTTGCCCTGCGTAGCCGCTCCGAAATTCAAATCTCCCTTGGCCCTGAAGCCGTGCGCACCGTTGGAATACGCTCTAGGACGTTGAGTTTACAGCCCGATAAGCGTGCTGAAGCGTACGTTCAGGGTGGTTGATGCCAAAATGTCTCGGATGCAGGTTACACAGTCTGAAGATCCGAGCAGAGAGTCAGTTCTACCTCAATGCCCCAAAATTCTACACACATATCAGGAAAGATCCCCAGAAGCGAGCCAACTTGAAAGAGGCGACGGCTGGTGGACGCTGTAGCCAAACCCAGCCCCTTCGTGAAGGCGATGCAACCGCCGGGCAGTGCCTTGGGCGATGTTTGAGAACACCTCGCTATTCACAGGTCCCTTTACAGAAAATCAACTTCAACTCTGACAAATGCTGTCGAGCGTGTCGTCGCCGCTGTCATTCACAACGACTAGTGGTCTGTGGCATTCAGCAGATTGTCAAAGATCTCATAGTGCGCGTAAACCTGAATTGTAAGCCAGGCATCCCTTTGCAGCTGGCCACAGGGAGCCTCGCCGACGGGCCTCCAGAGTCCTTGACCGCCGCCTTGAAAGGGACGTCCCTGCTTCGTCACACCCATTCCCTGCGTACGAAACTGCTGGAAGCAGTCGGACCAGAGTTGCAAAGAGCAGATGACCGCCAGCACTTGTGGGAGCTGTCTGTTTGGGCCCAGTCTGTGATCATGTCTCGCGCCTTCAAAATTCCTAAAGGAAGCGATCGGCTGGTGCTGATTCCCATTGTGGACATCGCTAACCATGCGGCTACCCACAGGCTCGCCAATGCCGATGTTCGGAACAACGCGGACGGAAGTGTCTCCATGGTCGCAGTTCGGGACATTGCCAAGGGGGAGGAGGTTCGAATCTGCTACGGGGAGTACACCAACGAGCAGCTCTTGTTTTGTTACGGCTTCGTCATTCCGGACAACCCTTGCCAGGGGCCACCAGGATGCTGAACCCTTCCGAACTCATGATAAGGTAAGTGGATGGTGTACAGTCATTGACCATAAAACTCCCCCAGAGTTCGTTTCTGCGCTCGTGGAAGCAAGGCTGGTCTGCCCCTTGCAGTTCCCGGACAGCCCAAAGAGGTCCGAGCTTCTACACCACTGCCTGGCCCACCGCAGGCAGCTCGTATCAATCTGCACTGCAAGCCATAGACCACGTCTTTAGCCCGAGGGTCCCGAGTCCGAACTTGGCAACTCTAACAACTCGAAGGCCGCCGCCTGGCCCAGCTCTGCAAGTTGGTGCTTTTGGAGCTTTTCAGAACCCTTGACTCTGACTCTGAACTACGAAAACCTCAAGCCCTCTCCACCCGCCTTAGGCAGCTTGTTCCACACACTCTTCCTGCCAAAGCTGGTCCCCTGCTGTACCGTGCATCCGGCACAGTGCCTTGCGAGCTGCTCCTGGCGCTAAAGGCACCGATCTTAGGAGTGCAGGATTTCTGCCACATCTGACACAGGGCCCTGGGTATGGGATGTGGCAAGTTTCAGGGGCTTAGCCTTAGCGTTTCAGAATGAGTCGAGGTTTCACGTCATGCTGCCTGATGTATTGAGGCCATCCGAAGGCAGCGGCAGAGAGCGAGAGAGTCTCCGTACTGAATGCTGGAGACAGCGGCCAGTGCAGCTAGTTGGAGCGAGCAGGTGACTGCATCTTTCAGTGAGGTCTTTCAAAACTGGCGGTGTGTTGGTTGTGTTTGGCCCGAGCTTTGCCAAGATTGTCATCAAACTCAAAACTATGGCTTTGTATGCTACCACCATGTTAGCACTCGGCTTAGAGGTCGCGAACATCACCGAGACCCAGGCAGCGGAGTTGCTGGAGGCGAAAACCTGCAAGCCCGAACCTGTCAGACATGTTGTAGCAGATGTGCTCGCAGGAGGTACAGTTATGGTATGTAACATTTCCTGCCAACTGCATGCAGGGTTTAGGAATTATGGTTTTGGGGCCGGTTGGGTTGCAGCTTTTGGTTGAGATAACAGTACATCGAAACATCATTGGCACATGAAGGCAAAGAGCTGGGAGTCATCCGTGCTGGATCCGGGACCCCAGGACCGTAGAACTCTTACGGCCAGGATTCCTCGGAATGGGTTCAGATTTAGGGTGCAGGGCGGGCCAATGCCAGCCGAGAAGTCTGTCTCATGGAAGACTAAAACTACTTCGGCCACTCGAACAGTGTGTACATAGTCTCCCACGGTTGAATTTCATTCTGAGGAAGGGGGTCACACCTTCTTGACCGTAGAGTGGAGGTGGTAAAGAAACCACAGACAAGGCCGACGGAAGCTTGCAACGTACCAAAGCACCTATGACGAGCTCAACCTCACCCCAGGATGATCTTAACGAGCGGCATCTGCTTCCTGACACCACCGCCCCAAACACCCACAATTGCGCAGATCAAATCATAAAAACAAAGCCCTACTCTTAGCCGTAAACTCAAAGACCCAGAATGTAAAGCCGCGACCATATTTCTGCTCCGTAAGCCCTGCACCATGGAAATTCGATCAGCCACTAACCCCGCAGTCCTTCCAACAGAGCTCCGTGGTTGACATGCAGAATTTCTTTTTAGCCCTGAAGAGAAACCCTCTCCCTACATGTTACAAATCCTAAACAAGCCTTGCCCAGGCCAGAAGTGAAATTCAAGATTGTTCACCAACCCCCCCCCCCCCCAGGCACTTAAACTCTGTCCCTAGAGTTCCAATCCCAAACCTTGATGCCCAAAATCGTTCATAGCCTTTTCCTAAAACGGGAGGGGAAAAAGCTGGAGCCTCCAATGTTAGCAAAAAAAGCGCAAGATGCAAGCCCGTAGCCTATATAAATTTAACTGAAGCCCATAGCCTTCACCCCAAGCACCTTTACCCCAAGTCCTAGGCCCTAAAGCCCTAAACCCGAAGCCCTTTCACTATGACTTCATGTAACTTCCATATAATAGTATGCTTGACATATACATGCAGACATATATGTCATATCAAACACCGCACACACACCTAACACACACTCTATGATCTCCTCATCGCCGCAGGAGCTGGTCCAATGCCTCGCCTTTTTGGAGGCTTGGCAACGCGAGCTCCCCGGTCGCAACCCGGCTGCCGAAGTGGAGGACTTCGAGCCTTGCAGGCAACTGCAGGACGACTGGCTTTCAAACCGGGCTTAAGGCAAGATGGTCCAGAGTCTAGGGGGCTAAGGGTTTTGAAGATTTAGAGTTCTGCACTCGAGGGTTTCAGGGCTGCTTGGTTTTGAGCGGCATTTAACTCGGCCTGTCTGGTCGAATTTATAAGGGCTTTTGGGACTTCGATAGGGCCTTCTTTGATTCAGGGCATGGTGGACGTCGAGGCTTCGAGAGATTTGGGAGTTGACGTTTTTCGGATGGCGTGTTTGACGACGGTTTCTCTCGGCCTTCATGCACGCAACGTTGACTGACTCCCCGATGGCAAACGTGTAGTCATGTGCGACAGCATGTGGCGAGTACACACTGGCGTGATGCAACAAGACAACTGAAATGACATGCGTGATTCGCAGGAGGAGTCCTCGCGCACAAGGGGAGGAAGCCGCGGCCAGCGCCGCAGGACATAAGGGAAGCAATGGAAGGGCATGAGGCGGCACTAGGAAAACAAAGGAGATGAGGAGAGGGAGACAAAGGGAGCAGGGGCAGGAACTGAGGGTGCTTATGGGCTGGGATGCATCGATTGGGCCAAAGAAGAGCACAGCGCCCAAACCAAACCTGAAAGATGACCTCAAGAGGCTTGCAGACTACGTGCCGCTTATCGACAATCAAACCGTTGGAAACTTGGGGGTTAGGACTAGTAAGCTCTACAGCAACATTACATGTTCTCCTCCTTGTTCACCTGCCTTTCAACAAGACCAGAAAATGTATAAAATGTGATGCATGTACATGATGCACTTGGTTGCCGCTTTTAAACTTTGCGTGTCAGACAGTCAGACAGGCAGCTGGACGGGTACATTGATTTCATTTAGTTTGACTGGTTGAGTAGACTGGTTAGACAGGTTAGACTCGTAAACAGGCTAGATATCCAAACCTGCACGTAGCTGTTTTCCATCTTGCTACAGTAATCTCGTTATGCAGCGGTTCGGACACGGATAGCGGATAGCGACATACTGAGCAGGAGGAAGCACGAAGTCTGATCGACGAGGCGATGGCGCAGGCCGCTTCACTGCTGCCGCCGCCGCTGTACTTGAGGCTGGGGGGCCCACATGCTCAACCCAAGCCTGAAACCCGAGCCCAATGCCCAAACGACCCGAAAAGCTCCAGTCCCCCAGTCTGCGTGCGAAGACAAAAGGCCTTACAAAGATGCAGACAAGCATAGAAATCCAGGCAACAATCGCATCCATTCCCAAGTTTCGTTTCTTATTACAGTGAAGGCGATCACATAATCGTGAAAGTCATCTTTGGGATGCAAGACATAGGGCAGGCTTCTTCCTTCATGTTTGATCTGAAGCTTGTCAGCTGCCGAAGCTCCGGATTGCCAAAGCAAAAGCTCTTCAAAAGAATTCGGCGTGGCTAACTTTGACCATGTGTCAAAGTGCGAGAAACTGTTAGTAGGCCTTTGTCAGTAGTTTACACTGCAAGTGCTGCAAACCCTGCAGCGCAAGCCGGAAAGATAGGTCAGAGGCTTTGGTGCCGATTGCAACCCCCATCATCTGAACCATAAACATCCCCAAACGCGCCATGCTTTTCCACCGTTGAAGCTTCGTTTCTCAGACCCCTTGCCCGGCTTGTCCCGAGTCGAAACACGCCTAAAGCCTAATTTCGAACCCCGAAATCCTAGGGTTTGGGTTTAGGAAGTTTAGGGCGCTCCTTGAGGTGGAAAGTTCAAAGACTCGTCTCTCGCGCCATCTCTTGAACTCGCCTGCCGGGAAGACCAAAACCGCTGCCTCCGTTTCTGCTGCTGGCCGCTGAGATGGGAATTCCAGGAAATAGGGGCCCCCTAATATAGACCCTGAGTCGTAAGTAAAAGCCTCATTATGAGCAGACCTAGATAAGGCTATGTCGGATTTGCGCTTTGGTGTTGTGAGCTGGTCCAATCTGGATGCTTGCGCTAGGTATGGATTTTGTCTTGAGGTAGGAAAAAGCCTTGAGACACAGTTGACTGTAGACTGCTTGTGTGCCGGGCGGCTGAAGTGTAGCAAAAACACCGTGCATCAGGTTGCGTTCGCGGAACACGGTCCCGATACAAGCAGACCGTCCGCACCTTCTGCGACTGACTCACAGCATGAGCATGTTTGCACGTTTCGACCTCCGGAACATGAGAGACAACAGTCGGTCGGAGCACAAAGGAAAGCTCAGCAGACGGCAAGGAGCCGGTCTGGAGTTCTCTTGGGCACCTGTAGATCCCGCGGCGAAAAAGCAACACTGCCTCAAACCGCACGCGGGCTTCCGATCAGGTTGTTGCATTGATTCCATATTTGCCAAAACTAGCATTGGGGAGGCTTCTCTGCTAGACTCTAGCGTGTGGAAATATAGGTGTAGATGTATTATACCATACATGCATACATGCATGCATACATACATACATACATAGATGGATAGATAGATATAGATACAGATAGATGTATAGATGTACGTAGATGTAGATGCAGTTGTATGTACGTTTGTGTACATATATGTCGATGTACAGAGACAGATTCAGAAAGACAGGCAGACAGGCAGGCAAAAGGATAGACAGACAGATATAAACACGTAGACACACACACACACACCCGCACACACACACACACACATGTAGGCACTGGCTTTTCTAGCGCTCTAAGATGCTGCTCTGCTTTCAGCTGGGTGGAATGCATGCACATAAGCCTCTCATACACCCGGAGCACGCAAGAGATCTTAGAATGAGTTGGGCCATTGCCATGGATTCGCAAGTGCCATGGCGATGCAAGTGGTGGTCTCCATGGAAACGGCCGCTTTGTGAACTTTCAGACAATAGTTCTTTCCAGATCGACTAACATGCGCTTGTCTGGTAGTTCAGAGGGATGCTGGGCCGTCGAAGCCAGAACCCAGTTCAATGATCAATTGCTCCTTGGATACTAGTTCTCATACACATTCCTTATGTGCATATATATATATGTATACGATGATGATGATGATCCTCCACAACAACAGCAACAGCAACCACAACCCCGAACGAGGAGTTGGTAAAATACTGAAACGATGCCAAGTGTATTGTGTTCTCGGGTTTTAACCTATGATTGAGCTTGACGACTGACTAGACGTTTAATCTATTCGCGGGTGCGGAGGCACTCAAGTCACGTAATCGCCGAAGCTGTTAAGTTGACCGCACCGGGCGGCCCTTTCTACAGCTTCCTAATCTCGAATGCGAAATGACTTTCACAGCCGGAAATCCCGCAGAAACGACTCCGCACAACAAACCGCATAATACGAACGCCCACTCACTCACTCACTGCTCTCTGACAAGTCCCCATATCATGGCCGAGCAGGTGGCCGACTAGGATGCCACGGAACTCAGACAGCCCCCCAGACACACAGCGGCACGAATTAGGCAACGCCGCCTCTGGAGAATAGGAAAAGCCATGCAGCCCGACAACACGTCTACGGCATACAGACCTTCCATCCCACCAAGCAGCATGACTCTTGCATGACTGCGTTCGTATGGTTAACAAATATTACACGTCACTTACGAAGTTTGTCAGTTTGTCGACAAGATCTTGCAACTCACGTTCATTGCCGGAGCGCGGAGCAGCGCCTCGCTTGCTTCGGCCACCAACTTTCGCCATGGTCCGCAGCAAGGCATCCAGGACGGGCGTCATCTCAGGGGACACAGCGAGGTGAATCTTACCCACAAGCACATGCACACGCTCACTCTGGACCGCAGGGCCGAGCTGCCGGCTGCCGAAGCTGGCACAAGATGTGCACAACTCCAACTCAAGAACCCAATGCCGACTGCTATCTATAACCTCGCCTGGATTGTCCGAGTTGCGAGAGTCTTTAAACACTTAAACCCATAAGCCCGAAGCCCCACCTGCCTCCAAAGAGATAGAGGTGGGCGACGACGCTGCGGAGCCCTTCTTCAGAGGCCTCTTCGGGGAGCTTCGGCGGGCGCGGGCCTTGGTACCAGTGGCCGTGATACTGTCTCTTTGTGTGACCCTTTAAGCTGAGCTCAAGAATTAGAGTCATTAGAGGGGCTCCGAAAGTCAGGCGTTGGTGTTTGGACTTTCAGTGACCCAAGATTTGGAAGGTGCAGCTGGGGGCTTCCGGTTTCCAGGTGTCGAGTCTAGTCATAGCACCTGGTTTCGGAGCTCGGGTGTTTCCGGCAAGGAATGTCTTGGGCTAAAAGGCACAGTTATTATTACGTTCTCGAGCGATTGTATACACAGTACCGCCCATAAACCCTACACCTGTGGGTGCCCAGAGTGTGTCAGGCAGGTTGAGAGCATGTTCGGTGGAGTTTTACTTCCGAAGCTTCTCGAGAAGTCTGCCTAGCAGAAATGCTTGAATATCAAGTAAAGGCTAAGTCGGCTAAGTCCGAGATCCATAGCTACAGCCCGACCAGACGGGAAGTCGGCATGGTCTGTCCGACAAGCCCAACACATTCTGGTGCCAGTCTGTGCATTGCATGACGTGGTATCTGGTGCCTTTTGTGTAGGCGAAGACGCACACTTGACTCGAAGACAACAGGGGTTCCTTTGTCGAGATTGCAGGACTGGGAGGGCGAGATTGGCATCCGCTTCCTTGCGCAGTCGACCTTCGTGATCACCTCATTGGGGCGGCGACTGGGCCGCCATTTGCAAAAGAAACCGTGTGCCTTGTAGGTCCAGTAGGTTTAGGAGTGCCGAGTTTGGGTTGGGGTTTCGGACTCTGGTCCAGGGTCGTCTTCTCGGCACTGGGCAACGGCTTGCTTGACAGGCGGCAGATAGGAGCCCTTCTGGTGGTTCTTCTGTTGCTGGCTTCGAAGGCCACGTGGCGTGAAGGCCACCAGGCCTCATCTTAGCTGGCATGGCGACCCTTGTAAACGGCCCTGTCGACCCAAAATTGCTTCCAGTTGCTTCAAAGGGTAGAGTCGTCGAAGGCATCTGGGCAACAGCGATGCACTGGAAGAAGATTGCGCCGCTGGCCTAGCTCTTTCAAAAATCGTCCTGTCCTGTGTTCAGAGG